TGATTGTAAAGGTCAAGTAAAGATCTTCAACATCACCTCTACCTTTACACCCATTGTATATGTAGAAGTATTTGACGGATGTGAGTATGGTTGAGGATGATGTTATTTGAGTATAAATGTGAGCATCAACCATCGTTTCTGTGACGCTCTTATACATATTCATGTTCTATACATAAATGTTATTCTACAATTATTCAGGAAGCACACGTATGAACTGAGTTCTCAATAATATTCCGATCAGTTCAATATAAAAAAAGAAGAAGAAATCATCAGGCAATTATTCTTCTCAAAGAAAATTGTCGTTTGATTTTGTTTTCAGTGTTCTAACTAAAGACTAGATAAAACTTTGATACTTCTTTTTGCTTCTTTAAAAACTTTTCCTACAGATTCGTTTCTATTTAAAATAATGACTGAAATACTTTCCTAGTTATAAAACATAAGTTAAAGCAGATTTTTTTCAACTTGTAGAATGTCCTTGAGTCAACTGATGAAATTTTGTTAATAATAAAAACAAAGATACAATCATAGGATGCGGAAAATAAGTCACAAATTAATCGTTAGTTTGTTATGTGTTTGTGTTAGTGTTAGGTAAGGAGAGAAAAGAAACCTTAAAATGCTTTAGACGACCAAAGTGATAGTCACTTGCATCACTTTCTCTTTTGCAGGTGAGTCTCATTGCAAGTTTTGATGTTTCGTAGGAAAGATATCCACAGTTCGAAAGCAATGAAATGTTACATTCTAATTAGTCACATGAGCTAATTTGCATTAAGATTTCATTCACTCTTAAGGAAGACGCAGATAAGTTCAACAAAAAAATGTAAACAGATTTTAGTGTACCAATACATGTCATTGTTCAAGCTGCTAAGTGTAAGAAAACTACTAACTAAGCTTAACTAGTTTGAAATATCACTTCTAAAATCCAGTTCATATCATATAATAGTTTATATTAAAAGTTCGATTTGTTCTTGCTTTGTTGATGACTATGTATTAGTTATATTATGAGCAGTAAACTTATGTCATATGAACATAAATCACTATAAAAGATTCCTGATAGTTTACAAATCTGAAAAATGCTATCTTCTAGCAGTTCTTTATTATAGTACTAAAAAAAAACAAATGAAATCTAAGTTCAGATTAATTCAAATAAATAGAGAAAGATTTGAGCGAATTGCGAAACTATCGAACGTTTGATTCTAATCATATGATCATTATGATAGTGTAACTAGTTATGACGAGTAAACATTTAGGATTTGCTTTTAATTAAAAACACATTCATTACTGTGACGTTATACGAAAATATCAAATTAAATTCATAATGAATCATAGATATTATCTTATTGCGCACTACACTGCTTTCAACTCGAATAAAAGCGAAGTCATTGAAAATTCAACAGTATAAATAAAGAATACCAATCTTTTTTCAATAGAATGGTGCTAAACTTTGACAAGATAACATAATCACCATGACGAATATAATATAAAATTTTCTTTAATAAAAAGATTCTCGACATTTCTCCATTAACAAATATCCTTCAGAGTAAAAGTCTATGATGAAGATGTCCTTGAGAAATGCTTCCTCCTTTTCATTTCTTGGTTTTTTAAAAATCACATCATTGAAACTTAGATGATACTGTAATCGAAATATTTGTTGGCAGATATCTAAATTTGTGTATCTGAAAGATTTATTTCGTATAGAAGTAAACCCGATAGGAACGAAAGAAAATTTTATTGCAATACAATTAGTCGTTTTGATATTATATTGTAGAAACAATCATAGCAGAAACGTTCTGGATTAATGGAATGGCACGACATAATGATAAGAATGTGGCTAAGAGTAAGACCTCTATTCTACGAACAGTTCACACCCACACTCTATTATCCTCAAGCGTTATCCACGCTTTTCTCAAAGGACATTTTGATAGTGGAAGATATTTTTTCGAAGGACTGTTTCTCAGGATTATATTTTCATTCAGGACATTTACTCTGACGAACACTTTTTAAAGGACGAAATATCGAAAGCATTTTTAAAAGAATGTTTTAATCTATTCCAGAATAATACTACGATTGAATGGAATTTAAATTAGATTTTGAATACTCATTATCTGTAAACTCAGTTCACTATACAAGAAAAACCTTAAAATGAATAGTTCTCTATTATTTATATTTATATTCTGAACACTTTAACATTCGAATATTTCTATCGGAGCACGTCATAGACAGATAATATTTTGAATCTGATAGTTTAATGGTGAGACCACCAGTTTGATTCAAATACAGTGCTGGCCGGACCAAGAGAGTGTCGAAGATGTAAGTGTCTTCACCCTCTCATTATTGGCTGCTTTGAGCTACCAGTCCTAATCGATTCAGACTCTTAATTTACAGTACAAAGCTCTTCATCGTGAGTGGCAGATTGATGAAAAGTGTCTATTCAAGGGTGAATTCTAACTCGTGACATTTGTAAATTTAAAATAAAAAACAATCTTTAAAATCGAGCATATCTGATGATACTTGAAGTTCGAAATATTTTGTCGGATAATTCAATAGTAATAACTTAACTGGATATTACTATATCTCTAAACTGCGTACTTCATCGAGATAAATGTTTCTTAGTAGGTTAAAATATAATGTTCTTTTATTAAAATAATGTGCTTCTTGAAAAAGTTTTGTTCCGAATCAGTGATGAATATTGTTTAACTTAAGGATGATCTATTTAAGTAGATGGAAAGATCAACGCTTAGGTACGGTTTATAGTATGGGCAAAGGAAAAATGTCTCCATTTTCATTGATTATGATAATGAATATTTGATTATAGAAAATCTACAGTGCGTTAGTCATAAGATTAGAATTTTGCAATTGTTTGTACGATGTTCGGTGAGAATAGATTATTGTTTGTTAAGAGTAACGAATGCAACTTTTAGAACAAACGAAACTTGAAGGTATCAAAACAAAAACCACTTAAGTGAGTTTACTGTTGAATATTCATTCGAGACTGATAATTATTAGAGCTTGATAAGGTCATCCAGGTTTCTTTGTTTTTGACAACAATGATTTGCACTGCCAATTACTTGTCGTCTTTTATCTCTCAGTATACATTAATATTGATAGAGTATGTTTACGTTCGATAAAATGTTCTTGAACAAAAATATGTCTACTTAAATACTCAGGTCAAACATCCGCAGTCATAAACGGCCGTATTCGAAGACAGCAGAACATATTCGATTGCTTACATGTCTATACGGAGAAAAATCTTTCCAGAATATGTAAATATACGTATAGTTTTTTGAGATATGATTAGTTTTGGTATGTCAACACATGAGCAGTATATTTATTCAAAAAAACAAAAAATCATGATTTGCCTAATTCGAGTTCGAATACGATTGAAGACCTAAATACCTATCCTGAATTGTAAAATACATAAAAAATTTCAAAAAACAATATCTTGTGGAAATAGTTAAAAAAAGATAAGATTAAGTTTTACTTCAATTATAATCATTTTTTGGATAAAAATTTTATCGTAATAATTTATGTCTAAAAGTTTTTATGGCATTTTTTAATAAAAACAAAAGCTTCCCCTTAAATATCTACTTGTGCAGAAATGCTTTTGTGCATTTAACTAAACTTTGACATCTATATTGCAAGGTGAGGCGTCTAGTGCCACTGAAGAGTCACAATCCATGTCAATCTCTACATGCATTGTAAAATGAATCATTCTCTAAAATTCTTCTTTATCTAAAAAATTTAGTTCTCTTTATAACTTTCCACAAAAATGAAATTAGTTTCCGGAAACCGAATAACTTTGCAGGAAAGTAAAGCAGTCTGCGGAAATAATGTGGATTTCGAGGATACTAGCTAAGTTTTTGGTAAAAAATGATGTTAGTCTGATGCTATTGGCATAGATGAGACTGAGGATGAAAACATACACAAACTGTTTCATTGAAGTGCTCGGAGTGCATAAAGATATGTAATAAGTCTATATGATCCTTATATCATGACATCTAACAAAACTGTTTTCTTGTGAATATTTTAGAAATTGAATACGTTTCTCAGAAACTTATATAATAACATCGAATCATCTAAAGAAAATATGTGTATAATTGAAGTCCTTATATGCATTGTTTCGAGAATTTTAATTACATTCGAACAAAAATTAAGAAAATACTCTAATAGTCAGAAAAACATATACTACAATGTGCAGATATTGACAATTAAAAAAATTCATGCTTTCATAAAATAATCTAAAAACTTGTGTTTCCTATAAATTTTTGATACATTTATAATGAAACATACATTTTCCATGAAACACTGAAATTTTTCTAGAAACCAGAGTATCTCTTTCTATTTAATATTTCAAGGTGTGTTTTTTTTATTCAAAGCTTATAAAACATATTTAACAGATGAACAACTCAAAAATCTACCATAATTCAACGAGAGATAACTATGAGAATACATTTTTTACAAGTCTCTGGTAACTTTAATAGGTTTTACATAGTGAACCAGATCTCATGTCAGATATATTTTATTTCCGGATAATATGTTCTCATAAATATTGATATTATTTTCTCCAAAACAATTTCCAGATAGATTGAAGTTCGAGCTAGGGCTACGTACGACTGCACAGGATCAAGACTGAAATTGAAAAAAACCGATGTTATCAGACTCTAGTAATAATTGACAGAGAACTATCTTTCAATTTTTGAATTTCATATTCTACTCTTAAGGTTGAGTTATATTCTTCAAAAACAGAAAGAAGAAAGTTTGTTCTTGTCATAGTTTTTTCCTTTCATTATGTTGCGTCATTTTCTCTCTTGTTGTTTTCAAATAGAGTCAATTTAATGCATATCGCATTATTTCTTTTTGTCAACATACTTCTGTTCTTTTAGTATTTCTTTACATCGTGTCAATTACATACTTAGTATTTCAAGACGGCCGACATAGTACGTAGACAATATTGTTCATACACACAAATTTTTAAATTTTCGAGTTCTTTTCTCTAGTTAAATATGGGACCAGTTCAGGTTAAACAACGTTGTGTGAAATGCACTAAAGGTGAAGGCATCATAATATGTGTTGGATGTCAGGGATGCTTTTGCAAAAGTCATTTTATTGACCATCGGCAGAATCTTGATGATGAGATGGGTCATGTCAATCAACAACAGGATTATCTTTACAAAAGTTTAACTGAAAATAATTTTGTGCATCCAATTCTTTCTCACATTGATGACTGGGAACAATCTTCGATTAGAAAGATTCACGAAGCAGCAGATAAAGCTAGAATTGATCTAGAAGCATTTATGATTGAAATGAAATCTGAATTAAAACAATCACTTCTCGAAATAAAGAGTGAATTAGAATTAAGTCGAGAAGCAGACAATTATACAGAAATAGAATTGAAGAATTGGACGGAACAACTAGAAAAACTTCGACGAATGTTTGAAAAACCACCGGCTATTGAAATTGTTCATGATCATGCACAATCACCGATTCGTATTATTCAACGAAAAGGTTTGTAAAAATACAAGGATGAAATATGCGATTATTTTAAAACTTTTCGACGATAACAAGACATATATATTAGAGTTTTACGAAGTATTTCCGACTGCATCTTGGATTCAGAATCCATAAAAGGCATTTTATCGCGATTCAGTGCAATAACAGTGTGGAGTTTTGGGAGTTGAGTTTAAGTTATCAAAGTCAATTAAATATTTCTTCTACTGTTGTTTTATGTTTACTTCTCTTCATTTTAAAATAGTAACAGAGCTATTGGTTCTTCCATTATGATTGTTTCCTATCCTTTGACATAAAAATCATTCTTTTGTTAGCTACAATGAAATGAACTAATGCTTTTAAGTCGTTAAGTTGTCATTTTACTCAATTTATGTATATTGTATAGACACCACTGTTTGCTAACTTTTGATGCATACAGATTATTAAAAAGTTACAACCATAATCTTATATTTTCATTTTTGTGGATATCTTTAAAAGATAGTGTAATTACAAACCATGTTCTAGTTCACAAACAGTATCCTTACATTTTTTTTCCTATCAACTACTTTCTTCTATTGTTGATAACTATGCAAAATATTAAGTTTCTTTCAATGTTATGACAGAGGAGTTAACTTCCGATTCGATTAATATCAACTTCAGATACTAACTGCTACTAGTCGTAACAGAACTGCCAAAACTGATAGATGAGCATGATAAGCAGCTGTAGAAGAATTATATAATTCACTAATCCTCACATTACTTCATCTTCAGCTTCATATCGTTCCCTCCTTTCCTTGATGATGAAAGTAAAATCAAAGCTTAGAGTCTGAATCAATTGGTATGCCTTAGTTATGAAATCTGTCTATTACATTATATCACTAAAACTATATACTTTGCTAACTCACAGATAATGCATATTGGCCTGAGAAATAGGTTTTATACATTCAAAATAAGAATATTTCAGTTTGGGAGAAAGCGGTCTTCTAAATCCAAGTTGTCATATAAATACTAGATGTTAAGAATCAATGAGTATTATTACTTGTGTAATACTATACTAGTTTACTAGTTAAAAGTTGGGTACGGTTTACATTTGTCATAAATGATAATTCTTAGTGATAGAACAGAAATTAATAGAGATTAATTCAAGAACACTAAATACATATCTAGTACAGCTATAGGAGTAGTCAACAACCGTAACGTTTGCCAAGTAACTTTTAACAGAAAAGCTGCTGATTACTCAGTTATAGTAATATGTCTACTATTACACTAAAGAAGCGTACCTAGAACAAAGCATCAAGTATCTCATAACTGGTAATAATACTAACGTTCTTCTATTGAATGAAGAATCTAAATCTATAATCCATCCATTTCTCTCATTTTCCAGCCGTAATTTCTGGTCAGAAGAGATTAATTTCTCACGGTTCACGGGAGTTACATAAGAAACCTGCTATTTGAGAGGAAAAGTCCTTCCTGGCTTGAAAAATTCCACTCGAAAATTGAAAAATTGATGGATTGTTGATTTAGATCCTCTGCCTTGCTATTGTGCGTTATTGTTACCATGGGTTACGAGAATCGGCTGTCTTGTTTTTGTTTTGTGTTCATTTAGTCAATAAATATGAAATTCTCTTTCACTCAATAACGGTAACTTTTCTTTCTTATGCTGAAATGGTACAAGTCCAAAGCTAATTACTTGTAAAATTACACAAATACCATCTGCTTGTCTATTTTTAATCATATAGTAAAAAATTATTGGAAAATAACATGCTAAATGAAAAAGAGAAATTAACATATTAAACAAAGAAGAAACAGTAGTTGCTTTTGAATGTATTCATTATTTGATAGCGTCACATTTATTTTGAAAATTAATTTAATAATTAACAATATATATATCTGATTCCACCATTTAATGAACACGATGAAGCATATTATAATTAGAACGGAACAAGCAAAACACTACGACAGTAAACTAATTATTTCTTTTTTTTTTTTTGCTTTTTTATATGTTGAACGAAGAAGACATCTCTAACCAATTTGAGTAATTGTGTGAAAAATTTTTATGAAATATACATCTTTCTATAATTATTGTTTAATAGGTTTCGAAACAAAAAAGAAAACTGAAACATCTCGTGTCTCAGCTCTACCGAAAACTATCAACATCAACGGCACTGCAAGTTTTATACCTACAGAATCGCGAACGAAAATAGATACAATAAAAAATAACAATGGAAAACCAGGTATGTTAATACAAAGCAATAGTAAAAATAACAGTTAATAGTTGATGTTCACAATAGTTTTTACTTAAACAAATACAACAGTTGACTAACCTAGACGCTTAATATGATATTTAACAGAAAAATCGACATGTCATGTTTTCAAATGTACAGTCGATTATTTAATAGACTCTTGTCTCATGAACTTCGTTTGGCTATGCAGATTTTTATTAAAATTCATTGATTTATTCTCTCAATCAATAATTCGATTGTTATATCTAAGATTAAATTCGAATCTCTTTATATTAATAGAAATATTTCCTGTATATAAACTTTTAAGAATTATAGAATGAATCTTCGTAGTGAAGTCTTCATTGTATGAAAATGGAGTAATCTCTTACGATAAAAAAAAGAGTAGAATTATCATCTCGTTGTATTCAATCAGTTAATAGTTTCTATAAATAAATAAAAAAAGATGTTTTTTCTTCACTAAATTGCGATACAATTTATTTTCTCAATCAAAAACTAAATAAATTATCATTTACCTGTTTCTATTTATTCTAGCGAGATTGTTTTTAAGCATGTTCCTAGTGATACAAACAAAGGTTTACTCGTCCCAGTATTTATAAAAACAGGATTAAGGCATGATTTTTTTTCATTGTTGAAAAACATTCTAGCGGATGTCTTCGATCAAAACAATGACGTTTTTCTTGTGAATATGAGACATTTAACCCTTCACTTTCGATTGAGGTTTTAAAACAGCCACTGATACAATAAGCAAATAAACAGAGTATTGATTTTTATCCCTATTGCAATGAGATGTATGGAATGATCAAACGCATTTTACTTTATGCGCAATATTTTCATCAGTCTAGTGATCATTGGAAGAAATGATAAAATGGAACAATTTGAACAGACGCATTTTTTCCCTCTACAATTATAGTTTTGAGTAGAGAAAAGGCCATGAAAATATATGTTTAACAATGCATGTAATTTAGAAATGTTATTATTTTAAATGTTGTTTTCGTCACTAAATAAAAATCTAATCAAATGAAGACATTTTATTGACGATAAGTATTTTATTCGACTATCTAATGTGATAAAATTTACAAAAACATGCGCATGGTATGTCGTCCCACCTTTTATCCCTGCAGACTCATTCCATGATTTAGAATCTCTTATCTGCCAAGCTATTGGGGAACATGTGAAACACTCTTGATTCACTAATGAGCATTTTTCTCGAAACATATTACACAGCATGCTTCAAAGATGCATTTTGCCTACAAGTACAAAAGAGTTGTGAGAAAAATTTTATTTTTCCAAACTTATCGATATCCTATGTCATGCTTCTTGGACACCGAGTAATAAAAGAAAATAATATTTTTTAGTAGCTGATAGATCATAAGGTTCCCTACAACTACCAGGGAGTTAGTTATGGATCTCATGGCCTAATTTTTTTCAATAGTGTTTCTACCAATATTCATGCAAATGAACATTCGGAGAAGTGAAAGCTAACAAGAATTTCAATGCTTGACTGTGAGATTATTGTACAGAGAATTTAACACCTGAAGATACAGCAGCTACCAGTTTAGAAATTCTATCTAATTTCGAAAATCTTACGTTGTCGACATGAACTCAAGGATAAGAATAAGGGTGAGCATGGTGTGGCGTGCTAGTTTTTCTTCCTCACAATTACCCTACGTCCATATTTTCAAAGCAATTGAAGACTCAATTTGCATTGATCACATTGATAACCGATTCATCAAGGAAAAATGAGCTCTTCCGATTCGAGTCATTCGGTTTATGGTAGAAATAAAAAGTTAACATCGAATTCATGTTTAGTATATTAAATATCAGAAGGAGGTAGTGTTAGAATATTACAGACTGTCTTCATGACAGACTCAATGTATATCTATGTATGTCATTGAATTTACTCTACGTGCCCATCTTTTATAGATGAAAGGGACTTGGTACTGCAAAGTGACGATGCATTTCTGTAGAGTTCATGAAGGATCACAAAATATTTTGTAGAAAGTTTGTGTTTTCATTGTGTTGAGATATGAAAAATGTTTTTTTTCCTAGAGAACAACATCAGCGCATAAATATCATAAAAGTTGACAATATAAATCTCGTCTAAATGTTGCTTGAATGCTATGAAAATTTAATTACAGTCACATTTTTGACTACTCTTTCTGGTGATGGTTTTACAAATGCAAAATGCTCTAATCAGATATACTAGGATATCCTGATGACTCTTCACAAACTTGAAGTTTTCAAAAAATCAATTTTCTGACATTGATCAGTACAAATCGTAGTATATCAAAAGTTGAACTTATTCTGTAATATTCAGCCTCCAGTATTGTTTTTTTTTATGAGATAAAAGTGTTTTTAATTCATACAATTCATCCGGTGAAGTTCCATTATATATTCTCTGTTGTGATCTTATGAAAGTCACCATATTTTTCTATCTAGAAGATAGTAGCATAGGCAGCAATATTTGCGCATGTATATTAGTATTTAACGGGTGAAACTGAAGCAAATTAGTAATAATCATAGTAATCCATGAAGAAAACAATGTACGAAACAGGAAAATAATGTTGTGACTTTTTATGTAAAAGGTAATTTGATCTTTGAATGCAAGAATACTTTCAAACTGTTTACTACAAGACAACAGGATAAAACACGATGGAGTTCCTTTAATCATAAATGAAAACCTAAACGGTGCCAACTGCATTATTTGAATAGATCATAAGAGTAAGCACATCGAGATGTCTATCATTAGTAGCATAAGATGTGCGTCTCAAGATCATATTCTA